AAAAAACGGGAAATATTATTCAAACTGTTTTCACGCGTACGAAGTTGCGGGCACGGCTAGTAATTAATAAATTATATGTGAATGAGTTAAAGTAAACAAACATAATATAAGTAGGTACGCAATACTCCTTAAGTGGTACTCGTATCGTATAATTAGTTAAAGCTATAAAATCATATAGCCTTATTTAGGTACTATAAAGTTATTATTCTAAGTTCCATTCCATAAATTAGTCATAAAATATGTTTAAGTACAATTTTTAAGTGCATATCGTTAGAATAACGCCCCTATTCACATACAATACTATGAGTTCTCACAGTGCACGTGGACGCACAGGGTGACACGAACTAATCATAGAGCTCTATTCAACGCTGTGCATTCGATTTATACCGCAATCGCACCTGATTTTTTTGTCTAGCAATTGTCAGTTATCTTCTTTTGGTTCTGACATGTCTGATCTAGGCAAAGTATGTAGACTTGAAGACACGTTCAATTTGTAAGACCAATTCATCTCATCTTCATCAGGTGATTTAGTCTCTCCTGGCCTTTTTGTAAGTAATATTTAATAGTTAGTTAGATACAAATAAATACATTTTGACTTTGACTTTGACCTGCAAAAGGGCGACTGACGCCGGGTGGATGGAGGGTTTGCCCTACACTCCCCACACCGTGGCCAGATGGGTTTAACTTGACCAGAGGTGGAATTGTGTAAAGCAATCGTAATCATTTGACAGTTCATAACGTACGATAAAGTCAGTTAAACAAAGGGTTTGACAGAATCATCGTACGTTGTGAACTGTCAAATGATAACGATTGCTTTACACAATTCCACCTCTGTTTAATATTTAGTTTAGATTTTTGTCATTATTGCAAAAAAACTTGAATTATAAACGTTGTAAGTACTATAATACTGATAACGTAATTGAATTAGGTACGATTTTAGCGGACAGTGAAAGTGAAAAGTTCGCAACAGATTGTTTCAGAGAAACCTGAACTTCGGCCGGTGTTTTGCAGGAAAAGACAAATGTTATGACTTGATTGAACTTGATATTATTTCACAAGCCACAATAGTGAGTGTAAGATTGCAGAAGTTTATTAACAGATGGAGAACAATGGACAATGCACCAGGAACTGATGTCATCGGACGTGTCAAAGATCGGCCATTTTTGCTTTTCCAGCAATGGCCGATCCTGAAGTTTCCTGATTATTGAATTTATACAGGGTGTTAGGTAAATGGATATAATTATGAGCCGACACTAGCCCATGTTAACCTATGCATATAAATGGTATGGTGAAGTCAGAAAATTAATATCATAATTTTAAACTAAAATTAGTTTTCATACAAATCTGAGGTGGAATTGTGTAAAGCAATCGTTATCATTTGACAGTTCATAACGTACGATTATTTTGTCAAACTCTTTGTCTAACTAACTTTATCGTACGTTATCAACTGTCAAATGATTACGATTGCTTTACACAATTCCACCTCTGATTTTATAAATTTTATTTGTATGAACATTTAAAAAAATTAAATGATGATATCAAATTTCTGACTTCACCATACCATTTATATGCTTATGTTAACATGGGCTAGTGTCGGCTCATATACCCATTTACCTAACACCCTGTATTAATAAAATCAATCATAGCATAATTATTATGACTGAGATTTGAGAGTTGTTTTTCAATTACAGACTCAAGAATGATTACTTTAAGTAAAGATTAAAGTTGTACTTTCTACGATTTTTTTCTGTAATGTGTGTTAGGTACTTGTATCGTTGTGAAACCCTTGCTTATGATTTTACATTTATGTATTAGGTGCATCATACTTATTTTTTCCAGTCAGTGCTCTACATAATATACATCTATACAAATACAAATATTTTATTCAATACACATACGCCCTTTCCAGGGCACTTATACACGTCCCAAATATACATAGCTTGCCCTACCACCACTTCGGGACAACTTATGGGCTGGTGCTGAGAAGAAGTGGCGGAAGAAACTCAGTCACCTTTGTCAGCCTCTTTTTCAATAAAATACAGTAATTTATAGTTTACATGACACGCAATAAGTGCGAGCTAGGCAGGTAAAATCCCACGCACTCTAGTCATTTAAATAATCGAACTGATCGAATAATCTACTGAAGTAGAAAGTTTTTGAAGACCTAAGCTTACCTTTCATAAATGGTCAATAAGTAAGAGTTGAATGATAATAATATGCCCTTATTGCCCTTGTTGTATTTATCAAGATTAAAACAATAATTTAGCTTAATGTAAATGCCATTTCATAGCAATGGTAACATTTCCGGATCAATTATTTCCTTTTTGTTATCTCCAATTAAATGTTGACTTTTAACCTCGCGTCTTATTTCGACATCAACTAAATGCCACTTCCTAAAAACAATGTCGCTCTAAAAATAAATAATCATAAAAAATATTTATAAGTTTAAAAAAAATCAGTTTCTTCTGACTTTACTGATTTATATCACGAATGTATTATTTTATTAAAAGTTATTCTTTGAGCCTCAATTCGATATAACTTTTATTGTAATTAATTTGATCAAGTATCAATGAAGAAAAATTCGACACTTGATTGATACTCTACTTGATTTTTAGTCAGTTTACTGACAAGTAATTAAAATAATAATTAGACCACGCACAAGACAAGTGAGATTAATAATAATAATTAATTTGGCTTAATTTTTTTAATTGTGTATAATACTGTATCTCATGTTGATAGCCCAATAAAATAAATAAATAAATAAATAAATAAATAAATAAATAAATAAATAAATAAATAAATAAATAAATAAATAAATAAATAAATAAATAAATAAATAAATAAATAAAAAACAAAATGTTTCATAAGTAATGCTTCAACCTCACCAACGCGTGCAGATAGCCATCGCCGGCGCGATCACGGCGCGATCATAGGGAGATGACAGGTCGCGTGAACTGTCATGGATCGCGCAACCTGTCATTGGCCTTTGATCGCGCCGGCGATGGCGATCTGCACGCGTTGGTGTGGTTGAAGCTTTAGTTTATGAAGACTTCCCACACTTGGTGTACGTTCAAAAACGAAAGTTTCTATGAAAATGTAGAGTCATTTTGTGAAATCGTTTTCGGTAAGTATCAGATATTACAGAGTATTATGACTCACGCAACACAGTCATTAAAGTTTTTATTATATTACTTAGTAAATCACTACTTTCTCGTAAGTCTATCAAGTGAAGTACTAGAGACAAGAAATTTTAAAATTTAATAGGGATGGAGCTATCCCTTTGGTTGATAGAGCAATATTGGACGTTATTGAAAGATATAAACAGTATGTAATTAGCAAGTAATTCTTTGCCCTTAAAATAAGGTTATAAATGTTAACTCATAAACTGAAACGGCATTCAGAAGACGTTCTATAAATCTAATCTTTTCTTTACACCCTATATTCATTTTGAGTGTTTTAAATGTAGAAAATGATCATGAATTAATAATTATTCAATTGACAAATTATGTTCACATTTGTCACGCAATTACTTTTAATGAATCAGATAGAAAAAGTTTGTAACTTTGAGAAAATCTGTAATTTATAAAAATAATAATTAATGACCTAATTAGTGTTATACATTCATTAAATCAAATTAAATTAATAAAATTAAAGTTATAAATAATTTATTTGCTTTGTTTTGAGTAGGTAAGTTACTGATTCTGATTATTTTTTATCGCCAGGTCTTGTAGTTCCCGAACCTGACTACGTCTGGAATCAAAACGCAAACTACGCTATCTTTATGTTATTATGGCAGTTTTCATTGCATTTTCGTCTACATAAAGTAAACAAAAAAACCTCATAAAAAACTCATAAAACTCATTTATTTCTGTAAATAGGCTTTAAAAAAGCACTTTTACACGTCCCAGTATTAACCCTACATTTCAAATCAAAAAGCATTTAACACGTTTACGTACCTTTGTTACGCGCGATTTTAAGGGTCATTCGTAATTTAAGTAAAAATTTAACAGTTAATGTAATGAAAGTTTTTTATTTCAACTGAAAAATAACACGTAAAAATTAAGGCAATAAAAACCTAGTTACGTGGTATTTGTTCAAAAAATAACATATTTTGCTATAAAAAGTGTGTAAAAACAGTCAAATACATTTCGTAAGGTCCGCTATGACAGCCGCGGACAAGCATTGTAATATTTTTACATAATTTTTGACACCGTTACACAGTTATTGAGATTTTGTACACAAATTAAGTTAATAAAAACATTTAGGCATCTTATGTGTTTTTTCTTTAAAACATAGTGTTATTTGTTTCGAACATGATGACTTTAAAGTGAAACTTTTTTAATAACTAACCCCCTTACTAATAAAACTTACACGCTCATTGAACAATGTTTTAAAGTGACGTTTAGTATGGAAATGAGATTTTAAAACAGTGTTCAACAACTGTGTAACTTTTTATTAGTAAGGTAAGGGGTTAGTTTGTGACATGTAGAGACGTAAAAAATTCTTTTATCTGTTTTTATTCTGACAAAGCTCAACTAATCCCTCCAGTGTCAATCTTTTAGTGAACGATGTAGAGTCAATTTACATTATTTTCTATTTCTTCTAGGTACTCTTACTCACTTAATAGAAAATTTAGTAATACTGTTTGAAATTCAATTAAAAAACAATAACATTTAGATTCACAATCAATAAAAGGTGTTTAAACGGCGTACACTGATAAACAATCACGTTTTGTGAAACGAAAAAGCTGTTACAGCAAATAAAAGTAATATCAGGTTACAGTACAATGACTCAGAAACCTACTTAAAAATTTCGCCATGTAGGTACTACGTAAGTAAATTATAGAAATTAGAACGTTAATTTTGGCTTTAGATTCGTTGAAGTGACTTAAATAACGATTGAAAATAAAAGTATTTGATTAAAAAATGAATAATAATAAAGCCCATGACATTGGCCCCTTAAATAACTTAAAAAAACTAGAACACGCGACAAACACTCACCGAAATTAAAAACGTTTCACCTCCTTTTACTTTTTGCAGCTATCGGTCACTGGCACAAAATAAAAAGCAGGTCCATTAACAATTTTAAAAAACTTTTCACTGAACAAACTTTTTCAAATTTTGAAAAAAGGTTCTAAACTTCAAAAAAGGGCGCGCGTTTTGACAGACGTTCGAAAGTAGAATGCGTTTTAGAACGTCAAGTTCGCGCCGCGGTCAAATCTCTACTGAAGCGATTGGCCGTTTGATCGCTCTCTCTTGTGGTGGCGAAGAGCTAAGTACCTTGAGAACGGGCAAATGAGCTTTTATTTAGATTGCTACAGGTATTATGCTTTAACTGTTCATCAAACAATGGCTTGGCAATCATTGGCAGCATCTTAGATCAACAAGTGCTTGCGTGCAAACAATTATCGCGGAAAATGTTATATTTGCTTAATGAATTACCTTTTGCGGTGTGTTTTGCAATTACGACTAATAATAACCATTACATATTGCAACTGTAGTTGCAGCTTGAATTTAAAGTTAATACTTAACAAATAAGACTTAAAAAAAGACGACATGAATAAATTATTCGTAAAAACTTCTAGCGCATTCAAAATTTGTTTTCTTTAGCTGTAACCGCCTAGCCTAGGCTGTGTTTCATACAAATGTCATATTATTTTTATTCAGTCATTCACAATTAATTTGTAATTACCATCATGGCGCCGAAAACGTTCTTCATTTCCAAGTTTTCCAACAAACATGCACGTTGACTTTTCGAATTTATGTTTACAAAAGTGTATCCTTTATCGTTCTTAAGTTAAAATTTTAGACAATCTTAGGAGTCAATTTTATTCATTATAAAAGTCCGACGGTCGAAGAGGATGGAACTATCTAGTATCTCTCGTGTAGGCAGTTCGACATCAACACCTCTGGGCTATTAACGCCTGATTACTTATTAATTTATTTATTTATCTTTATTATAGAAACAAACAGCCTTATTTTAATACATGTAACTCAAAACTAAATGAATACATTGGCCTTAAAGTTTTTCTGGCTTGCACTAATGGTGCTAGGATTTTTCTGTGCCTTTACCTTTTTAAATCTTATTTATCATGTTCATTGACAAAGGTGACTGAGTTTCTTCCGCCACTTCTTCTCAGCACCAACCCGTATGTTGTCCCAAAGTGGTGGTAGGGCAAGCTATATTTGGGACGTGTATAAGTGCCCTGGAAAGGGCCTATGTACTGAAATACTGAATTAACTAGGACTATTTCATTTAATTTCATTGAGTCATATCTATTAGAATGCTGAGTCTATGCCGTATGGCAGTGACGTCACGAATGAGACCCCTTTCTCTAGTACAGTTTTGGAACGCGACCGCCCCGCCATAACATCCATTGTTTATTATTCGATAATACACGATGATAATTCGTCTGGCTATAATTTGAACGCAGGTTGATTTAGGCATTATGACTTGATGCCTTTGCTAGGTGCCTTGAAGAAAAATGATTTGGCGGGAAAACTTTTTTGAGACCAAGATAATTTAAGTTCTGTGGTCAAGATAAGATCTCAAGGCACAGCTAAAAACACATTATATCCCTAAAACCCAGTTAGTTTTATTTAATTTTATTTAAGTAAGTATTTATAATTATGTAGATTAAATAAAAAAAGTGACGTCATAATTGTCTTTGCTATCTAAGGCTGGGTTGCAACATCTTATTTTAACTTTGACAAACCTCAAAATCTGTCAAATTCCATACAAAAACACCGGTTATCGTTATAGTTATTGTTAAAGTTAAGTGGTGCAACTCAGCCTAAATGTATGGGAAAGCCGCGTTTTGGCAACTTAAAAAAGTTATTCAATTGATTACTTAGTGTGTTTTTATTAAACGAGAGTCACAATCTGCATATTCTAGTAAAACTTACTTTATTTACTGGTAATTATTATGAATTTTATTTGGATTTTAAATTATACCCTTGAACTATTATTTACAGTAGGCTTAGAACCTAATGTCAAGTTTAATAGGTTGTTACTTTTGACAGTGATAGATAGACAATAGACATGTCAATTATTTTTAGAATTAAACAAACAAAAGAAATAATAGGCAATATTTATTGAATAAATAGTGTGAAAACCCATAATTTGAAGGAAACTTAGTTATAAAGCAAAAATAAATGACTAAGAGTAGGCGCACACCGTTGATTTTTCGTCGGCCGATAGTTTAGTCGGGCAGTTGATCAGTATGGGCATGTATGGGAGTGCGCACACTACGCCGATTCGAGTTGGCCGATTCTTCATACAAATTAAAATCGGGCACAACTATCGGCCAACTAAAAATCAACGGTGTGCGCCTACTCTAAACTGGAGATATACGAGTATATAGTGTGTCCGGGCATGTAGTGATCAAACTTTAAGGGCAAAGGACAATTTTATCGATGAAAATACTTCAAAGGGGCTTGACCCATTTCTCGCAAAATTACAAGGATTTAAGTTTTTAAAAGTCGCAAGGCACAACTTCATCATTATCATTTTAGCCACAGGANTTTGTTCAAATCGGTTCATAATTGGCGGAGTTATCGCGTAACAAACATAGAAAAAAAAAAAACATACGGGTCGAATTGAGAACCTCCTCCTTTTTTGAAGTCGGTTGAAAAGCATTTAACACGTACGTTTACGTACCTACGATACGATTTTAAGGGTCATTCGTAATTTAAGGAAAAAAATTAACAGTTAATGTAATGAAAGTTTTTTATTTCAACTCAAAAATAACACGTATTAAGGCAATAATAATCTAGTTACGTGGCATTTGTTCAAAAAATATATTTTGCTATAAAAAGTGTGTAAAAACAGTCAAATACATTTCGTAAGGTCTGTTATGACAGCTGCGGACAAGCATTGTAATATTTTTACATAATTTTTGACACCGTTACACAGTTATTGAGATTTTATATACAAATTAAGCTAATAAAAATATTCAGCAATGTGTTTGTTTTTAAAAATACATGTTTGAAAGTTTTGTTTCGATCAGGATGACTTTGAAGTGAAACCTTTTTTTAATAACTTAGTTTGTATCATAAAAAATCGTTTAATCTGTTTAAGCTCAACTAAATATGTATAATCATCCAGTGTCAGATTGAGAGAGTTATAAATATCTGGAATAAACCATACAGTGTCAATATTTTAGTGAATAATATAGAGTCGATTTCCAGATCACTTTCATGTTTTTTCTATTTCTTCTAGTTACTATTACTCAATTTAGTAATACTGTTTGAAATTCTATTAAAAAACAATAACATTTAGATTCACAATCAATAAAAGGTGTTTAAACGGCGTACACTGATAAACAATCACGTTTTGTGAAACGAAAAAGCTGTTACAGCAAATAAAAGTAATATCAGGTTACAGTACAATGACTCAGAAACCTACTTAAAAATTTCGCCATGTAGGTACTACGTAAGTAAATATAGAAATTAGAACTTTAATTTTAACTTTAGATTCGTTGAAGTGACTTAAATAACGATTGAAAATAAAAGTATTTGATTAAAAAATAAATAATAATAAAGCCCATGACATTGGCCCCTTAAATAACTTAAAAAAACTAGAACACGCGACAAACATTACACTCACCGAAATTAAAAACGTTTCACCTCCTTTTACTTTTTGCAGCTATCGGTCACTGGCACAAAATAAAAAGCAGGTCCATTAACAATTTTAAAAAACTTTTCACTGAACAAACTTTTTCAAATTTTGAAAAAAGGTTCTAAACTTCAAAAAAGGGCGCGCGTTTTGACAGACGTTCGAAAGTAGAATGCGTTTTAGAACGTCAAGTTCGCGCCGCGGTCAAATCTCTACTGAAGCGATTGGCTGTTTGATCGCTCTCTCTTGTGGTGGCGAAGAGCTAAGAACCTTGAGAACGGGCAAATGAGCTTTTATTTAGATTGCTACAGGTATTATGCTTTAACTGTTCATCAAACAATGGCTTGGCAATCATTGGCAGCATCTTAGATCAACAAGTGCTTGCGTGCAAACAATTATCGCGGAAAATGTTATATTTGCTTAATGAATTACCTTTTGCGGTGTGTTTTGCAATTATGACTAATAATAACCATTACATATTGCGTCTGTAGTTGCAGCTTGAATTTAAAGTAATACTTAACAAATAAGACTTAAAAAAGACGACATGAATAAATTATTCGTAAAAACTTCTAGCGCATTTAAAATTTGTTTTCCTTTAGCTGTAACGGCCTAGGCTGTGCTTCATACAAATGTTATAATTTAATTTTTATTCAGTCATTCACAATTAATTTGCATGCACTACCATCGTGGCGCCGAAAACGTTCTTTTCCAAGTTTTCCTACAAACATGCACGTTGACTTTTCGAATGTATTTACAAAAGAGTAGGTAGGTACCTATCTCAAACCCTACTCTTAAGAAGGTTACTCCTAGGATACAATCTTAGGAGTAGATTCATCACAAAAGTCCGACGTCCGAAGGGGATGGAACTGTCTAGTAACTCTCGTGTAGGCAGTTCGATAAACAGCCTTATTTTAATACATGTAGCTTAAAACTGAGTGAATTATACATTGGCCTTAAAGTATCTAAAGCTAGTGTTTTAGGCAAAATGTGGCTTGCACTAATCGTAGTAGGCTTATACTGTGCCTTTTTAAATCTTACTTATCATGTTCATTGACAAAGGGGACTGAGTTTCTTCCGCCACTTATGTTGTCCCAAAGTGGTGGTAGGGCAAGCTATATTTGGGACGTGTATAAGTGCCCTGGAAAGGGCCTATGTACTGAAATACTGAATTACCTATTTCATTTAATTTCATTGAGTCATATCTATTAGAATGCTGAGTCTATGCCGTATGGCTGTGACGTCACGAATGAGACCCCTTTCTCTAGTACAGTTTTGGAACGCGACCGCCCCGCCATAACATCCATTGTTTATTATTCGATAATACACATGATTCTTCGTCTGGCTGTATAATTTGAACGCAGGTTGATTATGCATCATGATTTGATGCCTCTGTTAGGTGTCTTGAAAAAAAAAAAGATTCGGCGGGAAAAGTTTTTGTGATTAGTTCTGTGGTCAAGACAAGATCTCAAGGCACAGCTAAAAACACATTAAATCCCTAAAACCTTAGTTTTATTTATTTAAAGTAAGTTTAAAAGTAATTATGTAGATTAAATAAAAAAGTGACGTCATAATTGTCTTTGCTATCTAAGGCTGGGTTGCAACATCTTATTTTAACTTTGACAAACCTCAAAATCTGTCAAAATCCATACAA